CTCCTGGACGCCTACGTGAGTTTGCCCTGCTCCTTCTGGCTGCCGCGGGGCTGCTGGGATCCGGGCAGCTGTGCTGGGGTGCGAGGAGCCCGGCCCGTGGCAGGGATGGGGCACGGAGTCCTGCTGGATCCGGGCCTGCTCGCACCTGGGCGAGACTGCCCCGACGGCTGCAGGGCTCAGGGCTGGGGATCCCCCACGCTCGTCCTGCCTCCGCTGATCCCCGGCGGGTCTCACCCTGCAGGTGGAGCAGCAGGGCCTGGACGCCTCGGCCAGCGTGGCGGCAGTGGAGGGGGTGCCGCTGGCGGCGGTGGAGCGCTGGGACGAGCAGACGGGCACCCAGCGGCTGCTGGAGAACCTGGCGGCCTACCGGGCCTTCCGCGCCCTGCTGGCCCAGATGCTGGAGGAGCAGCGGGAGCAGCTGGGCGAGGCCGACGCGGGCCTGGGCCGGGCGCTGGCGGCTGTCCTGCTCCAGGTCTCGGCCTTTGCCTACCACCTCGAGGAGCTGCTGCGGCTGGAGAGCCGCGGGATCCCCGGCGAGGAGGAGGAGGAGGACGGGCCGCCGCCCCCGCCGCGCCTCAGCCTCTTCGAGCAGAAGCTGCGGGGCCTGGGCGTGCTGCGGGAGCTGGCCCAGTGGGCCGTGAGGTCCGTGCGGGACCTGCGGCAGCTCGCCAAGCCCAGCCCGGCCACCGGCGCAGCCCCCGGCCTGGCTGAGAGCCCCTGAAGGCGAGCACAGGGCGCGGGGTCTTGGGTGCCCCTGGGGCTCCTTGCCCACCCTCTCAGAGGGCAGTTGAGAGCAACGGAGGGGACGTGGAGGGGAGGGACCATGCCATTAATCCCCATGCTTTTAATGCTGCTCCCCATGGGGAAACTGAGGCACAGGCTGCAGTCTGCCCTGGAGGGAGCAGGGATCTTCAGGGGTTCTTGGGCTCTTCCTGCTGGGCAGTTGAATTTCCCCCAGGAAGCAGCTTTGCTGCTCACCCCAGGGCCTAGAGGCGTGAGCACTGCCCTTCTCTTTGGAATTTGGACGCTGCCTGTGGCAGGCAGATGCTGCCTTGGGGCTCTTGTGGAGGCAGGGCAGGAGCCAAGAGAGAGAAAAGCATCACCTGGTGGAAGGAGTCTTAGGACCTGCCTCCTAGCTGCAAGGCACAAGGCTTGGCCTCCTGCACGTGGACTGTCCTGCTGCCCAGCTTGGTTGGCTGCTCATTGAATTTCTGCTCTAACTGCTTGGGGGCTTTTTGGGGAGGGGGGGAAGCAATCAGGAGGGGGAATTCTCAATTGCTTGGACATGATAATGGAGAGGATATTTTAACTGAAAGGGGATCTTTTAGCTGTGATTCAGAAGCCCCTCTGCAAGGGGGTTAGTGCCTGCAAGGGCTTATTTTAGGACTGGGAATGGCGTGGGAGAATCTAACAGCCCCAACCACATCGTTCATCCTGTGGAGTGCTGGGATGTTTCACAGCTTCCTGGGCCATGGTTCTGCTGCTGACTGAGTGTGATGGCTGCCATGTGAATAAAAGGGCTGGGAGATCTACCAGGGTGATGTACTTCTTGGGGGAGGTGGGATGGCTCACCAGAGAGGCTGGACTGCCCAGTTCCCACTCCAGGGAAGGGTCCATCCCAGCAGGGTGAGAAGTTTGGGGGGATGCAGCCCACTGGGAGGTCATGGGGAAGATGAGCTGGGGATGAAGGAGATGGTGGGAGGATGAAGAGGAGATGGTGGGTGGATGTGCCCTGTCCTGCCGTGGCCCTGCCTTCTTCCCTGGCCTGTGAGAGGAGAGGCAGCAAGGGAGGGGGGACTGGGGCCACAGAGCAGGGAGGAGGCTGGGGACGTGCCCGGCCGGCTCTGCACAAAGCGGCTTTGTGGTGGCAGGTTGGCACAGCACCGGGCACAGCGCCTGCCCCAGCACCAGCAGCCTCTGCACAGGCACGGGGGCTCTGGGAGACAAAGAGCAGCCCGAGGCTGAGCCCCCAGTGCCATCCTGCCCACCCCACAGGGCCACAGGGTTGGGGCAAGGGTGGTTTGATAGGGTCTGGATTTTTATCGGTGATGCCTGAGAGGAAGAACCTGCACCTTCTTCATTGCCACTTACTGCCTGCCCTCAGCTTTGCAGCTCAGACTGGATTACTTCAATCTTTATGCTTCCCTGCACTGGGGAATAACAATTTATGGCCATTATTTTTTTCAGGATTAGTCAAAGCAAGTCTCTTTTCTGACAAGTATTTTTCTTGCTTGCTGCTGTGTACTTGAAGCCACCTTGCTCTCCTCCCCTTGCACCCTCCAGCTCAGCAGTGGCCGGGTGCTGACACCCTCCTCACCTTCCCGGGGGTGGGCAGGGACATCTGGAGTGTGTCCTTGAACCTCACCACCCGACCAGGTGGGAACAGACCTCTTTTCTCCGGCAGCACAGGCTGGGTGCGAGGTGACCTTCAGATCCAGGAGAGCTGGCCAAGGCTGCAACCCGATCCTCCCACATCAGCTGCTGGCAGAGAGCTGAGCTCCGTGCTGCACTCCAGGGTGAAAGCAGCAATGGGGACCCAAGGTGGACGATGGTGTTGCCCCAGGGATTTCCCTGGGCTTTTGCAACCTTCCTTACTCCTTCCCTGTTACCTTGCCAGCTGCGTGCACCTGCATTTGTGGAGCAGCCACCTTGCTCAGGAATGGCCACCCTACCCAGAAACAATGGGAAAAAGCAATCCATTAATCCAAACCTCCACGCTCTGGCTGAGTGAGAGGCTCCAGCTCCCGGCCTGTCCCTGCCAGCCAGCCCCCACCATGCCGTGCAGAGGCGGTGACGTCTGAGCTGGCTGGGATTTAATGCTATTTTTCAGCTGCAGCCCTGAGGGAATCACCAGTGCAGTGATTTGGCGAGGACAAGGGCGCCCGACAGCTGAGCTCCCGTGGTGCCAGGAGGCCCTTGGATTTGCTTTGCCATGGATTGAACTGAAGTTGATCCGAGTGGCTGAAGGCAGATGAAGCTGTTCATTTTGGAACCAGAAATTAGGAGTTTGAGGGGAGGACAGTTGTACCCGTGTGGTTAATGCTGCTGAGGACCCCTGCAATGGCTTCCTGAAAACTGAGAACCCACCAAAACCATCCTGCTTTGTGCTTTGGGAAGAGAGAAGGGATTTGTAGTGCTGGTAGGAACAAGGAACTGGGGGTGGGGGGGGGTGCACTTCCAAATTGCAGCAGGGATGGAGCCACCAAAAGCAACCCATGGATGTGTTTAATTTTAAAATAATAAATGTTTTTAGGGCTTAACGTGTGGCTGGACACACTTTGTGGGGTTGGAAAGGTTTTGAGCTGGCTGAGGCTCTCCCTGACCCCAGGCCTTGGTGCTGGGTGAGAATGGATTTGCTCTTTGCCCAGAGGCTGGGGGGATTCCCCTGTGCTGGTCCCACTGCTTCACCCACGGTCCCACACCAGCATTGCAGTGCTGGCTTCTGACTTCTTGATCCTGAGCTGGAGCTGGGGTGGGTGGATATTCACCAACACTTTCCTTTTTTAATAGCAGGAAAGCCTTTTCCTCCTGTCTGAGTCAGTGGAAAGGATTTCCCCGGGTTTCCCCGATTTAGCCTTGGCTGCACTTGTCTGCCTCAAAGGAGCAGGTGAAAACCCAGAGGAGTGGCTCTCTGTGGCTGTGCTGCTTTCCTGGGAAGGGCCAGGAGACCTCCCTTCTTGCAGGAAAATGTGCCTCAAGCGTAGCCCCACGTGTATATCCAAGTGTGAGCTGGGAAAAGGAGAACTTTTGTGGTTCACCTCATCCTCTCTCACCACGGCGCCCGCCAGCTGGCATCACCGCAGTTAGTCCCCACCTGTTCTCCCTTTTCCTTCCCTTCATTTTTTCCTCTCTTTTGGATCTTTTCTAATGGTTTCTCACCACAAGCGCCACTGGCAGGCGCTCAGCAGGATGGGCAGTGCCTGGGAAACAGGTTTGTCCGGAGAGGAGCTTCACCACCTGCCTGGGGATGAGTTGCCTCCAGGCTGAGGTGGACCATGCTCCGGGGGATTTCCTGTGCTGCCAAACCTGCGACACAGGGGCAATTTGTACATTTCTCCCGAACCAGGAAAGTCCGGGTGTTTCATGTACAAGGAAGTCAGTGTTAGGTGTGTCTGAGCACGGGAGCACAAAAGGAGGTGAGACCAGTCTGTCACCAATATCCTGCCAGTCAGGGCTCTCCTGGGAAGCTGCTTATGGGGCTCCGTGGAAGAACAAGCTCAGGAATGTTTTTCTGCCCTGCAGGGAAGGGCCAGCACTGGCTGCTCCGGTCTGAGGGTTGCACAGGGGTGTGCACACCACAGCTAGGGCAGCCAGGCAGCCGGGAGAGCTGGGGGGCAGGAGCTGGGATTACAGCTCAGGATTACAGTTCAGGAGCTGGGATTATTGCCCTCAGACATGAGGCAATTTTGGGCTTTAAAACAATTTTTGTGTGTCATGGGTCACAGGCAAGAGCAGCTCAGGGGGACACTTCCTGAAGAAGCTCTTGGAGCACATTTTTCTGTTACAGCTCATGGAGCAGTTTCCCTGAGACCCACCAGCACCCTGAGTCTCATGGCTGGCAGGCAGGGACTGGGGGGTCCCCACAAGGATGGGTGCCCACCGGGGGCTCCCTGGGCTGCACACCTGGTTAGGAGTACGGGGGGTGGGGTTAGGAGGGACATTGGGAGGGGTCCTAGGGGAGCAGGGTGGGGGTACAGGGGCTACGGCGACAGTGGGGACCCGGGATGCAGGACAGGGATCCGGGGACAGTGGGGACCCGGGATGCAGGACGGGGATCCGGGGACAATGGGGATCCGGGATGCAGGACAGGGGATCCGGGGACAGTGGGGACCCGGGACGCAGGACAGGGGATCCGGGGACAGTGGGAGTTGCCGGCGTGCAGGATGGGGGTGCCGCGACAGAGGCGGGATGGGTCCCCGGCCCCCGGGGGGGCTCGGTGCCACCGGGGCGGGGCGCGGTGACGTGGCGCGGTGCCGCCCCCGGCCCGGGGCGCTCGGTGCGCGAGCATGCGAGAGCCGCCGGGGCGGGCGGCAGCGGCGCAGCCAGCCGGGGCCGCGGCCGGGGCGGCGGAGCCATGCTGCTGGCCTCGGCCGTGGTGGTGTGGGAATGGCTGAACGAGCACGGGCGCTGGCGGCCCTACAGCCCGGCCGTCAGCCACCACATCGAGGCGGTGGCCCGCGCCGGGCCGCGGGCGGGCGGCAGCGTGGTGCTGGGCCAGGCCGACAGCCGCCTGGCGCCCTACATCATCGACCTGCAGTCCATGCACCAGTTCCGCCAGGACACCGGTGAGTCGGCCCCGCGGCCCGGCCGTGCTCGGCGCTCCCGCCCGCAGCGGCACGGCGGGGCGGGCGGGAGGGGCGAACCGGTGTGCCCCGCTCCGGGGCCGTGCCCCGCTCCGGGGCCGTGCCCGATCCCGCACCGCCCGGCCGCGGTGCCAGCTCGCTGTCCTCCGCCTGATGCCCAGCTCCTCGCCCTGCCCTCGCTGCCCAGTCCTGCCCACGCACCCCTGGCCCCCCCGGGGTCGTGCTGGGCGCCCGCCTCGCTGCTGCAGCGCCCCGGGCCCTGTTGCACCCACCCCATCCTTGTCCCTTCGGGAGAGCTGGTGTCTCGCACACCCTTCCCAGGGCCGTGCCCCGCTCTCCGTGCTGGATCTGAGCCGCCATCGACCTCGAGCTGAATGGTACCTGGGTGACAGATGCTGCCCGGGGGGGATGGCAGCCCCAGGGCAGGGACACAAGCAGGTGGAGGGATGCTCGGGAGGGCACGGGCAGGTGGGAGGGTCCCCAGCCTGATGGGGCTGTCTGTCCCCCACCTCCTGGGGTTGTCTAGGATGTGGGGCACAAGCACCCGTGGCAGGACATTAGAATGGGGGGTTGTGACCACCAACACCCCCGTGATGGCCAGTGTGCTTTGTCCCTGGGGTGCAGCAGTGCCAGACACCCTCCTTTGTCCCTCTTTCCCCAGCAGCCTTGGGGGCTGGCGACGACCCTCCCCTGCTCGTGGGTGTGGGGACAAGGGACCTCTGCGAGCAGGGTGGCTGGGGGCCAGCTTCTGAGGGCTATTGTTGCCCAGGGTGGAGGACTGAAAGGGAGATTGTTCTGTCTCTCCCTGGGTTGCTGGGGATGTTGGTATTTTGGGTCATTAAACAGCTCTGATTTGGGGGGGTCGCGACCCTGGCAGGCCCTGAATAGCTATTGTTCCCTTTCTTCCCCTGTTGAATGGGAGGCCGGCTGGCGGCGAGGGGCTGGGGGAACACACAGCATTCCCACACTGCTGCCTGGGGACCGCCAGATGCCGCATGCCGCCGCCAGATTAGGATAAATCACTGCCCCGCTCCCCTCGGCTTCTCTGCCCCGGGTGCCCCTTGGCAGGACAGGGCGGGTGGCTTGGCTGCGGTGTAGCTGCACCCCATGCCCCTTTAGCAGGGTGCTGGTAAACACCTTTCCCTTCTTATCCCACTCGTGTCCCTGCGGGACCTGCGGTGGCGGCTGTTCTCCGCCGAGAGGTGGGGGTGAGAAGGGACTGAAATTCTTGGAGGCTTTGCAGGACACGTGGTGAAAAGCCGAAGCAGCAGACTTGTTTTTGCTTCTGTTTGAGTGCTTTCTTGTTCCTCACGCTGGGCTTAGCCATGGGAATCTGGAGAAGGAGCTGGAGGCAGTGGTGCTTGTCCCACCTGTTACCAGACACCTCTGGGCATTAGTGACACGCTCAGGATGGGACCCCAGTACCATGCACACCCAGCCCTGCCCTGCTGTGAAAGAGGAAGCCTTTCTCCTCATTTCCTCATTGTAGGAGTTCCCAAAATTTGTGTCTGTTCTTCGAATGCATCCTAGTTGATTGGGAGTGGTGGGAAAGGGAACGCCTAGCCAAAATAAGGATGCAAGGCACAAAGCCTTGGGGCTTTGTGCTCTCATCCCACTCCTCATGTTTGCTGATGGGGCAGCGGGAGCTGGGCACAGGGCCCTGCTCAAACTCCTTAGCTTGGCCTCACAAGGATTTTCCCTGTGAGGAGAATCAGTTGCCACAGTTGGGGTTTTCATCGGGGCCGGTTTGGCAGCTGCAGATGGTGGGGCTGGCACGAGCCCCGCTCCCCTACGTGTGTAAGGACCTGTGTGTGTCACTGCCTGGGGCTTGGAGCTGCCCCTCAAATCTTTGACTCACCTGTTCCAGCCCAGAGCTGGGAGGGAGACAGACACTGCAGGGCTGGGGTGCCCTAATGCCTGGTTTCATCAGGCTCCCGCGGGAGGTCCCTGGGAGCAGGCTGGAGCAGCCAAGCTTGTGGTTCTGTGTTTCCCCATCCGGGCTGAGTGGCTCCATGCTTGGCCTGTGGGCCAGTGGGAGTGAAATCTGCCCTTCCCTTCAGCCCACTTGCACTGGGGATGCACCCCCAGGCTGTGGGGCTCCCTGTCCTCTGGGGAAACCGAGGCACACCAGTCCCCTGGCAGGGTGGGGACAGCAGCAGGGCCAGAAAGCCGTGCTGTCCCTGCGTGGAATGGCACCGGCAGGGCAGGTCGGGGTGGTTTTGCTGCCTGCCCACGGGTGGGTGCTGGCGCCAGGATCTGACGGCATCTGTCGCCCTCCCTCAGGCACCATCCGGCCCGTCCGGCGCAGCTACTACGACCCGTCCTCGGCGCCGGGCAAGGGAGTCGTCTGGGAGTGGGAGAATGACAGCGGGACGTGGACGCCCTACGACATGGACGTGGGCATCACCATCCAGCGCGCCTACGAGAAGCAGCACCCCTGGGTGGACCTGAGCGCCATCGGCTTCTGCTACGTCATCGACTTCGCCACCATGGGCCAGATCAACCGGCAGACCCAGCGCAAGCGCCGCGTCCGCCGCCGCCTCGACATGGTCTACCCGCTGGTGTCGGGCACGCTGCCCAAGTCGCAGTCGTGGCCGGCCAGCCCCGGGGCGGCGGCGGCCCCGCCGGTGCCCGCCTGCACGTGTCCCCAGTGCCTGCTGGTCATGAGCGTCAAAGCCGCCGCCGGCCCCGGCACGTCCACCCTGCAGCCCCGCAAAGCCGCCCCCGGGGCCGGCGGCAGGCGGCCAGCACGCCCGCCCTGAGCTCGGCCGGTGCCTCCAGCAGCCCCCCCGGCGTGGGCAGCGGCAAGGGCACCCGGGCCAGCCTGGGCACCCTGAACCGCAGCCACCTGCAGCGCCTGGCCATCGCCCAGTCCCGCGTGCTCATCGCCTCCGGGTGAGTCCCCAGGGTGCCGGCCTGGAGAAAGGGACTGCACAGGCTTTTCCCCCTCCCCAGGGCACTGCAGGGGTCTGTCAGCCCTGAGCGTGGTGGGAGACCCTCGGTGGTCCCCAGCCTCTTGTGGAGGGTAGTGGGTTCTGCTGGGCCCCTCGCCTTCCCCACAGGTGCCTGGAGACCGGAGCAGGGATGGGGTGGCTCCTGCATCTCAATGAAGAGGCTGAGGCTGCTCTTTCTCTTGGAGTCAGGGGTTGGGTGGGGGACTGCGAAAGGCGCAAAGAAAAGCCATTCAGGCCCCATGAGAAGGGGTCCCTCCAGACCCCCATCCTCCAAAGCCATTTTTTTGTGATGGGGTGGACACTTAATGGGCCTGTTTCTCCCCTTTGTCTGGCTCTGCCGTCAGCCTTCTGTCACAGCCTGGCCCCTTTCCTCTCTCTCCATCCTCCCCCTTCCCTCCGTTCCTGACCTGCCGGGAAACTTTCCCATGGAAGAGAGCCCCAAGGGGAGGGGGAAAAGAGCTGTGGCAGTGACGTGGCTGTAGGAGAAAAGAGGAAAAGAAACAACAGACTGGCCCAGGGAGCTGTGACAAAAAGGGGCCATGAATGGAGATGCAGTCAGGGTTTCTAAAGCGCCAGAGAAAAGGCGGTGGTGGGGCAGGGAGGGGCAGGTTGCCCCATCGGGGGGGATTCTCTTTTTCCATCCAGGGCCTGTGCAGTTGCTCAGGCAACTGTTGTGTGGCCCCTGGGCCCTGTGGGGACGTGGGTGCCTCCTGCCTGTCCTGATGTGGTCTGTGCTGGCTTCCCTCAGGGTCCCCACTGTCCCTGTGAAGAACCTCACTGGCTCCAGCCCCGTCAACCCAGCACTGGCAGGTGAGGATGCTGGTTCCCCCAGGGTGGGGGCACAAACAGCCCCAGTGGGGCAGGTTTTGGGGAGCATCTGGCTTTCAGGGTGTTGCTGTTTTTCCTCATTGCCATTTGTTCCCTCCTTGTGCAGGGATCACAGGGATCCTCATGAGTGCAGCCGGGCTGCCCGTGTGCCTGACCCGGCCCCCCAAGCTGGTGCTGCACCCCCCACCCGTCAGCAAGAGTGAGATCCAGTCCATCCCTGGCATCTCCCACTCCTGCCGCAAGACCACCAAGAAACAGGCCAAGAAGGGTAAGAGAGACTGTCCCTCCTGCCCTTCCTGGATCCCCTGTGCCCCCATCCCTTCTGCTGCCCCTGGCAGTGGGTTTCTCCCATCCTGTGACCCTCTCTCCCCCGCAGGTAAAACCCCGGAGGAGGTGCTGAAGAAATACCTGCAGAAGGTGCGGCATCCGCCAGACGAGGTGCGAGCAGCAGGGCTGTGCCGGGCTGTCCTGGGGGGCTTTGCCCTGGGATGAGGGGCTGGGGACACGCGTGATGCCACGTGCAGGGATGTCCCCCCGCCCTGTGTGGCTCTGCCCTGTCCCCAGAGCGGGGCTGTGTGCTGCATGCACGGCCCCTGCAGGGTGACAGCCCGGCCCGGGGCTGGATGCCGGTCCCTGGGTGAGAGCAGGGCAGCCCATCAGCGCCCATCCTCTGACCCCTGTCCTCTCCTCTGGCACAGGACTGCACCATCTGCATGGAGCGCCTCTCTGCCCCCTCTGGCTACAAGGGGCCCCAGCCAGCCGTCAAGCCTGACCTCGTGGGGAAGCTGGTCAAGTGCAGCCACGTCTTCCACCTCCACTGCCTGGTGGCCATGTACAACAACGGCAACAAGGTGAGAGCCTGGGGACCCCCAGCTCAGCCACCTCTGCAGAGCCCCACGAGCTCTCCATGGGACTCTGAGCTCCCACCTTGACTCAGAGTTTAATTTTGATCAGCAGCAAGCACTTGGGGACTGCTAAATCAGAGCTCAGGGTTGTGTGGGTGTGTTTCCCCCCACTGTGCCCAGATTTTTGTGCTTGTTTTTCTTGCCAGGGTGGACTTTGATCCCTGCATGTTTGAACAGAGCTACCTGGAATTTGGTGCCAGGCAGTGCTTCTCCAGCCACGGGAGAGTTTTTGCAAATACCCCTCGTGCTTGACATTCCCTGAAAAATGCATTGTTTGGAGATTTTCAATATTTATTATATTTCCCTCTTTGAAAAAACAAACCAAACCAAACTACCCAATTCAGAGCTAGAGAAAGCAATGAGGACTGGAAAACTGATGGGAAAGAGAAATGCAGACCTCAGGTTTTTTGTTGAAGTTGGGTAGTGAATTCACCCAGCCCTATCCCAGGTTCCTGAGAGTTTTTGAAATTATGTTTTTCCCGATTAAAACAACGTTCAGTGCTGCTCGGGACTCAGTGCCTGGCGTGGCTCGGTGCTGGAGATACTGGTTTCACTGGTCCCCCTTTTTCCACTCTCAGGATGGAAGTCTGCAGTGCCCCACCTGCAAAACCATCTATGGGGTGAAGACAGGGACGCAGCCTCCCGGGAAGATGGAATATCACATCATCCCCCACGCGCTGCCCGGCCACGCCGACTGCAAAACCATCCGCATCATCTACAACATCCCCCCGGGGGTGCAGGTGGGTCTGGGGGGGCCATCTCGGGGGGCTGGCGGCCCTTGTCACAGCTGTGTCACCCCCAGGTCCTGCTGCAGCTTGTGCCTTGGTTCAGGAGCTGCTTGTCCATAAGGATGTTGTGGGAGGTCTGGGGTGTATCTGCATGAAAGTGCTGTCCCTGTCTGCTTGGTGGCAGGGGGATGGTGGCCATTAGTGCCCGCCAAGGCCTGGGGAGTTGCCCTGTGCCCAGAGATTGCTTTTGAGCTCCAGAAGGGTTTTCTTCTCCCCTCCACATCGCAGGGACCAGAGCATCCAAACCCTGGGAAGAGCTTCACGGCCCGTGGCTTCCCCCGGCACTGCTACCTGCCAGACAGCGAGAAGGGCAGGAAGGTGAGCTGGCCGAGGCGTGCCAGGGTGGGAAAAGCAAACATGGCTTAGCTAGGGGAATGTGGGTGGAGGTTTTGCCCACAGCCCATGCAGCAGGCTCTGCAGGAGCCCTGTGACCTTCCCTGCAGGCTCGGCAGCCCGGTCCCTCTGCTCTGCCTGGGGCAGGAGGCTGTGCTGGGATGCTCCAGGAGGCCTTGCCTGTGTGCTTGCTTTGCTGCCTGCCCCATTCCTGGCCTCCACAGGTACTGAAGTTGCTGCTGGTGGCCTGGGACCGGCGCCTGATCTTCGCCATTGGGACGTCCAGCACCACGGGCGAGTCGGACACGGTGATCTGGAACGAGATCCACCACAAGACAGAGTTCGGCTCCAACCTCACCGGCCACGGCTACCCCGACATCAACTACCTGGACAATGTCCTGGCTGAGCTGGCAGCCCAGGGCATCACCGAGGAGAGCCTGGCACAGGAGAAGGACTGAGACCGTGGCGAGGAGGCAAGAAAAGGGTTGCCTGTGCCGGCACCCACCTGGATAAAGCTGCTGGAGATACCTGCCTGGGGGCTTTTCAGGGCACACCTGGAGCCCCCTGCTCCCAGTGGCAGCCACGCAGTGCCCCAGGCTGGCTGGGAATGTGGGAGAAGGTCCTTTTGGCCGTCCCCTTCACTCCTGCAGGGCGGGAACATCCTCACACACAGCTGTGGGGCTTCAGGCTGGCTTGGCCACCCCTGTGGATGGTGTTCTGTCCTATCTGTCACTGTGCTGAGGGCTTGGGGGGTGCCAGGCTCCCCTCTCTCCTCATCCGTGCCAGTCCCAGCCTGACCTAACACCCCTGTCACCCACCTGGGGCTGGGACCTGGCTTGGGGTGGGAGCTGGGGCCACAGGAGTCCCCCTTGCTCTGCCTCATCCCTCTGACGTTTGTTTGTCCGTTCGTTCTGTCCGGTCCCTCCCCACCGGTGTCCTGTGTCTGTGCAGGCTGGGGGGCCTGGGCTGCCCCGGCTCCCCCCAGCCCTGCCCCCTGCTCCTCTTGGCTGTGTCTGAGCTGTGCCCTGCAGGGTCCCCGTGTCTGGGCTGCCCCTGCCTCTGCATGCCAGGGAGGGGCTGGTGGGTGGTAGGAGGTGTGTGTGGGGGGACAGTGACACCCACCCCCGCGCCGTGGGTTCCTTGAACTGTTCGTATGGGGGCGTCCCCACGTTGGATTTTCTATATACCTCGTGTTTTGGGGTTTTGTCGTATATATGTACATATAGGGGGGTGTCTGGGGAGGCAGCCTGGGAGAACGTGGTGCTGCAGCCGAGCTGGGGCTGGGCACAGTGGTGCTTGGGGTTGGGACAGGGGCTGTGGGGCCCCCCACCCCGACAGGGCTCTGCCCCACGGGAGGGCTGTCACTTGTGGGTCCCCATGGGGCCAGGTGCAGGTGGGGTAAGAAGTGTCCCCATTCCTGCCCCCGGAGAGGCCTTGGGGAGGTCTGCAGGGGAAGGTGGTCGGTGACGGGTTGGTACAGGCTGGGCCAGGAGGGTGGTGTGGGTAGGAGAGTGTGGGTGTTGGGGTGGGGGAAGTGTGTTCCCAGGCTCTGGGGGTCCCTGTCAGCCCCCTGGGGTGACTGGGCCTTGGAGAGCCCAGGTGGAAGGTGTCCCTGCCCAGGGCAGGGGTTAGGAATGAGAGAGTCTGTGGGGTCCTTCCATCCCAAACCAGGGGTTCATGGGGCCTCTCGGAGCCCCCTGTGCTGCGTGCTGGGGGTTCCCTGGCCCTCTGTGCTGGTGGGAGGGGGGTCCATCCTGCTGTGCATCGTTCTGTTGTCGTTGCTGTTTTTCCTCTCCGTGGCCTGGCGGGTCCGTCACCCCACGGCCACCCCGCGGAGGGGCTGGGGGTCAATAAAGCGGATGGCAGGGGACTCTGGCGGTCCCTGCACGGCCTGGCCTCTCCGTTGTCTTCTGTCAGTCATCTGTGTGGGCAGGGCCAGGCACCCCGGGTCCCCCTGATGTCCCTTTGCACCGATCTGTGCCCAGCCGCCCTCAGCGTGGGTTGTTATCTTCTACCTCAAGGGAGAAAGCCTCTTTCCCCAGGCACACGCCCCTGTTTGGGTGGCTCTCAGCGGTGTGATTTCTCCTCCACTGCACGCCCTGGGTTTTCCCCAGTGCAGACAAAGCCTGTCTGGAGCTATGCAAAACCCTCTGGGCGAGAGCGGGGAGGGTCCCCCACCTCCGCGGTGCCAGCCCGATGGCTCTTACTGTGAGTAAGTCTTTCCACAACATGACTTTTTTTTTCTTTTTTTAATGCTCTGTTGACTACAGGATGAGTTGCTGGCTGAAATAAAACTGCTCCGTGCCTCTCTGCATGCGTGTGTATATCTATCCCGATAGATATACATGGAGACAGGGGTTGCAGCTTGCAGCATGCAGGATTTGGGAGATGGCCCTCCCCGGGGCTCCCTCCTTTTCCCGTGGGTTCGGGGATTTGGGGCACGAGGGGAGGGGGCACTCAGGGCACCGTCCCCTCCAGCTCCTGCTGGTACCCCTCGCCCACGCTCAGCACCGTGCTGTGCTCGGGGCTGGCGGGGGCCGGGCTGTCCCCTGTGCCCAGGTTACGGTAGCCCCTGGCCCTGTAGCGCCGGTGGCCATACCAGGCTGTCCCCAGGCCGGTGGCCAGCCCGGCCAGCACGGCCACGGTGACTCCGGCCACCTGTCCCCCCGACAGCCCCCGGCCGCTGACCATTTCGGCCGCGTGCTGCACCTCCTCCGGCCGTGCCAGCCGCCACGGGTCAATAAAGCGTCCCCTCCAGCTCCTGCTGGTACCCCTCGCCCACGCTCAGCACCGTGCTGTGCTCGGGGCTGGCGGGGGCCGGGCTGTCCCCTGTGCCCAGGTTACGGTAGCCCCTGGCCCTGTAGCGCCGGTGGCCATACCAGGCTGTCCCCAGGCCGGTGGCCAGCCCGGCCAGCATGGCCACGGTGACTCCGGCCACCTGTCCCCCCGACAGCCCCCGGCCGCTGACCATTTCGGCCGCGTGCTGCACCTCCTCCGGCCGTGCCAGCCGCCACACGTGGCTCTGGCCGTCCCTCACCCAGGTGCTGTCCCCGTCCCGCACCAGCAGCGTGTCCACGGCGGGCAGGTTGGCGGGGGGCCGGGTGAAGGGGGGCAGGCGGGCGGGCGGCAGCGAGCCCCCGGTGAGGAGCCCGGCCTGCACGCAGAACTGCACCTGGCAGCTGTCGCTGATCAGTGCCAGGTGCTGGCTGAAGCCCGGGGGACAGCCCTTGGCGTGCGGGTCCTCGGCCGTGCCCCGGTGCTGCCCAGCCAGGGGGTTCCCTGCCTGGCAGCTGAAGAAGCCCCCGAAGGGCACCGCGTACTTGGCCCCCACCTCGTAATCCTGGCTCACGCACACTCTGAGCTCGCCGAAGAGCTTCAGTGGGACGTACCCCGAGGGGCAGGACTGGGCTCCGGTGAGGGGGTTGGCGCCGTGGGTGCTGAACAGCCCCCCAAAGAGGTATCCCGAGTTGGGCGCCACCGGCCCGCTCGCGGCGCACCAGTAGGCGCTGAACTGCACCCGGGAGAGCCAGAAGACGTCCTGGCACTTGCGGTGGCAGAAGATGCCCAGGGTGCACTTGTTGTGGCACTCCAGGTGGCTGTGACCCTCCTCCCGCTCCTGCACCCCCAGCAGCACCGGGGTGTAGGTGGCGGGGCAGGAGAAGGCCCCGGTGAGGGGGTTCCTCTGCTCCAGCGCCCGGCACAGTGCGTCGGTGTCGGGGCCGCTCAGGCCCACGCACTCCTGGAAGACTCCCCCGAAGGTGAAGTTGGCCATGGTGCCCGTGCAGGAGCCGTCGTCGGTGTTGGCGTGGAAGTTGAAGTTGGGCGAGGAGGCGTCGGTGCAGCCCAGGGCGGTGTTGAAGGTGTAGTAGCGGCGCACGGCGAGCTCCACCCGCCGGGCCACCCTGCGCACCGTGGGCACCGGCAGCTCCGGCAGCGCGCTCGGCTTGATGAAGTAGTACAGGGGCAGCCCCGAGCGGTCCAGGGCCACCAGCTGGTTTTGGATCTTCTCCTGCCACGTCTTCAGGGTGATGCCTGGGTAAAAGGGGGTCCCACCGATGCTCTCCACCCTGGAGCTGGTGCGGTTGTCCAGGTACTGCTTGGTGAAGCCCGAGCTGACGTCCAGGGACTCCTTGGTTCCCACATTGACGATGCTGTGGAAGGCCACGCCGGCCGAGGCGGTGACAGTGCTCCGTGTGGCCCAGCTGTCCTTCAGGAAGGTAGCTTTGATCTGGTCCTCCTGCACCAAGGTGGCTCCTGCATCCACGGAGGTGATGGCGTGGGTGCCGTAGTTGAGCACCAGCACCTCGGCCAGAAAATCGGCCATGTGGGTCTGGTTGTTCTCCAGGTGGCTGGCGATGGTCAGCAGTTGCTTCTTGAAAGCCTTGTCCAGGGCTGCCTCGGGGTCGATCTTGGCAGTGTAAACCAGGTTCCTGACCTGCACCCGGGTGGTGACAGCCTTGTCCCTCACCTGGTGGGTCTTGGTGCGGTGGAAGTCGCTGGAGAATTTGCCGTTGATGGAGGAGAAGAGGGACAGCTCCAGGTTGATGGAGGCAGAGGTGATGCTCTGGTAATCCTTCCAGGACTCGATGATCTCGGAGTTGATGTCCAGGTTGCTCTGCTTGCGGGGGATGGTGAAGATCTCGTCTGGGATGAAGTAAGATCCATCTTCTGTGGTCTTGCACTGTGAGTAGCCCAGGTTGATGACTCTGCCCATATCCAAATTCCTGAGGTTATCCCAGCCCCCGCCCGGCAGAACTTCCAGACGTGAGAGCTTCAAGGTCTTGCTGCACAGCCCAAATCCTGAGGAGGACGAGAGTTCCTGGGGCTGCTCAGCCCCTGTCACCCAGGCCAGCAGAGCCCAGGTGAGCGGGGCCCCCCAGAGCCCCCAGAGCCCCCAGCCCATGGCCGAGCCGGTGCTGGGCCCTCACCAGTGGGAGCGCTAGGACCGGAGCTGGGAAGATGAGCTGGCTGAGAGAACTGACAAAAGGGAAAGGAGAAGTGAGAACTGAGGCATGTGAGAAATGACAGAGTGGAAACCAAGCGCAGGGGGTGGGGAGCAGGAAGGTGTCTGTCCCTCCCTCTGCCCCACCAGGACTCCGCAGCCTCCTGTGCCCCGCTCCCGTCCTTCCCCAGGGTCTGCAGTGTCACCAGCCAGGGATGGCACCTCCTGCTTGGGAATGCTGATCTGCAGGTGCTGGGGGCTCTGATCCAGCTCTGCCTGGCTGGGCTTCGCATTCAGCAGCACAGGGCAGGTGCTGCAACTTTTGGGGAATAAACAGGGAAGTTTCTGCTGTGAAATGGTGACTCTTTCCATATAGACAGATTCACTTCCCCTGGTTTTGCTCCCGAGTTCCTCTTCGCAGGACACTTCTCCCTGGGAGGGGGCTGAAGGGACAGCTGTGATGGAGGCATAGGGCCCATAGGTGCCTGTGTTTTTTGGGCAGGATACTGCCAGGAGTGGGGGGTGAAGGGATAACAGGAACACCATCAGGGATGTTTGTTGGGGAAGATGAAACAGGAAAGCCTTATAAATATGATTGCCTGGCAAAAGATTTTGAGAATATGGAACTATAAGCAAGATTGAAATGAAAGCAAGCTTTGAGATACCTTGGTTACTGAACAACTGGAGAACAATGGTATGGGCGGCTGAAGTAATCCCTCTTGATGAAACAATACCCTCTGCTTGCAGACAGGTCCAAGGGTCAGAGCAAACCCTTCTAGCTTGGCAGAAGGGGTCCAAAGAGCAGTTTTCAGGGTTTAAAAGGTAACAGAGTATGGTAATGTAATGATTCTTATAGGCTGTATGTAAATGCTATAATATTTGTGCCTTGTGTTAGATTGGTTAGTAAGAATTAGAATATTAACACAGAAGAGGATTTATTGTATTGTAATGAGAACTATTCATTCAGTCTCTCTTTACCACGCCCTTGCATTCCTTCTTTTTACTCTTCCTCGCTCTCTCATTCTCTCTCTACCACTCTATTTCTCTCTCCTTGGGGCCTGCTCCGAGCTGTGGCTGGCAGCTCCCAGCAGGGCCCTGCACCCAGGCCCTCTGCCATAAACCCCAAATCCTGGCTGCAGAGATCTCTCATCTCCCTGTGTCCCAGCCATCCTGACCCCCAGCCGCTCCCACAGACGCTCTCGCTGGCTCCAGCCCCTGGAGCAGCTGGAAAACCCCTGTGCAGGGATCCCCATGTGCAGCCTGTGTGGTCACCTCACCTAAAACCCACCCACCCTGCCATGGAGGCAGTGGAATGTTGCAGTTTTTTCCCCCAACACTTTGAGGTGGTGCTCTGAGTTAACCTATTCCTGCCTTGCTTCCAAGGGTGAGATTCCCATGGCCTCTCTCCTGGGCAGTGCAGCTGGCCAGAGGTCCCTCCTAGCAGAGTGACACCAAAAACCCCACAGCTGAGGGTAATCAGGGATTTTGGGGATGGAGAGTTCAATGGCAGCTGTGCCAGTTCAATGGATGCAAAGGGAAATCCAAGACTTCTCCAGAGGGGCTGTTTTCCCTGGGTTTGTGTAGACACAGACACCTTTTTACCACCAAGTGAGTGAGGTTTGGGGCTGTGTTTCCAGGTTTGGGGCTGTGTTTCCAGGTTTGCGGCTGTGTTTCCAGTTTGCTCTGTGTATTTCCAGGCTTTCTTTCAGCTCTCCTGGCTGGGCCAGATGTGCAGCAGCAGTGCAGGGGCCGGAGCTGCCGGGTGGCTCTGGGAGCACAGATTCCATCACAGCCCAGCCGTGTCCAGGAAGGCCAAGGGAAGGGATCAGACATCTCCTGGAACGAGGAGTCCTCTGCCTGGAGTGGAGGGGGAACGTGGTGGGGTCTGAGGGGGAAGATAGACCCCATCCTTGGGGACAGTTCCCGTGCCATGGGGCAGCTGCCTGCCTGTGGGACAGGAGCTGGGGGGACTCCAGCACTTTGGGGAGCTTCCCTGCTCCCGATTTCCCCCCCGTTTTTGGGGATATGTCCATGTGCTTCTTATGGAAGCACTGAGCTGCTGCCCATTGCACTTGGACTTTTGTGCCTTCTCTGGGGGTGAGGAAAAAGAGAAGTGTGTGAGTCTGTGAGGTGATGTCGTCATTTGGGGCACCCCAATGTCTGTGGTGGGGAATGAGGGGGAAACAGACGGGATCCCCCCAAAAAAGAGAGGTTATAGCCCCAAAATGCCTGAAAATTCATTTATGTGTAAACCAGTAAAAAGTATAAAGAGCCTCATTTATATATATATATATATAAACCCTTATTTATTTCAAGATAAATATGCTGTGTTATAGACAGGATTTCAGAATATAAGGAATTCTGAATATGTCTCCATAGGGTTTGAAAAGAAATATACAAGGTTTTAGGTATATAAATGAAACAATAAAGGGCTTGAAATAGTTAGACAATATTATCTGTATGAAGGACCTAGAAACAGCTCTGTGTACGCGGGGTTCTTTCTCCCTGCTCCCGCTGGAACACCCGCAACCCGGGATCTGGGATTCACCGAAATTGGGATTTATTGCACCCCGAAAACCGCTGCGCATGCGCGGCGGCCGCTACACACTGAGTGCTGCCGCCTTGTGGACACCGCCGGTACTGCGGCTCCGAGCGCTCCGGGCGCTTCCCGCGGCTCCGCCGGCACCGGGAGCGGGAGCGGGACCGGGACGTGGAGCTGGACCGGGAGCGGGACCGGGAGCGGGACAACGACGGGCAGTGGCCGTGCGAGGCCGCGGGGCTCTCGGCCAGGGCCGCTCCCGGCAGGAACCGCGGCCGCTGAGCCGGGAGCGAAGGCGCGGAGCCGGGAGCGGCCATGGCGAAGCCGGGGAGCGGCGGTGCCGGGCCCGGAGGTGAGCGGGGAACGGGGACCGGGAACGGCCCCGAGCGGGACCGGGGACAGCCCCGAGCGGGGACCGGGAACGGGCCAGAGCGACCGGGGGAAATGGGGGGAGTCGGTGTCCCGCCGAATGGATCCGAGTTGCAGCGCAGGGCTCGGTGTGCCGGCGGAGGGAAAGCTGGTTAAAGGATGAAGATGCAGAGGAACAAGTGTTGTAAACCCCCCCTTGCTCTCTGACAGAGAAAACCTTCCATAATCCCAGTACATCTCTCTGAGACTCTGGGATCATTAGGTCTTCCAGGAAAGCAGGGACAGAGATGAGGGAATAGGCTTCTAATTAATAATTGATGTGTGTAGGAATGATTCTTGTATGTTTCAGTCTTCCCTTTTAAATCCTGGTATAATTTTAAAATTATTTCTTTAACAAATGATCTAAATTTGAGAAGAAATGGTGCAAAACAAATGCATGGAGAGACCATGGAATCCCCAATGGTTTGAGTGGGAAGGGACCTTAAGGATCCCTTCATTCCATCCCCAGCCCAGGGTGCTCCAAGCCCCATCCAGGCTGGCCTTGGACACTTCCAGGCATGGAGCAGCCACGGTTTCTCTGGTTTGTGGGCACAGGAGGGAAGTTCCAGCAGGAGCTGAGGAGTTCCCTTTGCCCTGTGCAGCCCCAGCAGGGCTGTGGGAGCAGAGGCTGTGGGAGCAGGAGCTTTGCCCACGGCCTCGGGCAGTCTGTGCTGCCCCAGCCCCCAGAGCAAACGTTGGTGGTTTAACATCCCGTGCCAAGGAGATGCCAGCCAGGAACGGGAATGGGCCGCGGAGCAGGGACGGGGCCAGGCACAGGGGTGACATCCAGAGGGTGCCACCAGCCCGTGCCTGCTGCCCAGGCTGGCATGAGCAGGCTGGTGACTGTCCCTGTGCTTGCTCTGCAGGATGAGGGAGCCAGCCCTGCCTGGAGGAAGAGGAGGAGGTGTGGGAGGATGGAGACAGCGGCCACCAAAGGCTGGGGAAGGCACAGGTCCAGGTGGGAGATGCTGCCTTCCAAGGAGAGGGACTTGTCTGTCCCATTGGAATTTGGGGTGTGAGGCCAATGGAACAGAGGGTTTGATTCTATTTTCTTACTCAGATTCTCATGTGCCTTAGGGGGTATTTGTGGAAAGGTCACTTTAGTGGGTTTGCACTGGATTTAAAGGAATGTGACCCCTGGGGCAGAAATTCCTGGATTCTATTTTCTTACTCAGATTCTCATGTTCCTACACAAGTTCTGTGTCCCCATGGGCTGGGCCTCCTTGTTTCCTCCTTCTCCAGGCTCTGGATGAAGTCCTTCCTTTCCCAAGGGAGAGGAAAGCCAGCAGGATGTGAACCACAGGTGGTGCTTTAGGAAAGCCCCTCCAGCCTGGGAAGGTGCTTTTGGCTCCAGACACATTCCCAGAGCCCAGGAGCAGCAGGACCTGTGCTGTGCCCAGCAGGTGAGGCAGAGCTGCCTTTCCTTCCTTCCCTGCTGCACTTTGGCTTTTTGAGGGGTCTCAGGGAAAAGTTCTTTGTCACTCCAGGGCAGAACTAGCCCTGCTCCCACTAAAAGCAGGAGGAATCATTTTATCCCTGTTTTTGGATACAGCTTTTGTGTTTTCTCTCTGTTGCTGACACCGTGTGGTGAAGCAGCAGCTCCCAACCTTGTCAGTGCTGCTCCAAGTTTTGTTCCTAGCTGGTAAACAAGAAACAGTGATTTGCTGCCCTGTGGTAATTGGATTAAGGACAAGGCCTCCCTCTTTGTTTAATATTCCAGAGAAAAGCTGCCAAGGAATAAAGCAAGAGCTTTCCCCAGTGAAAACCTGCCCAGTCCCATGCTGGGTTTGCACACACACAAGGTTCAATCCCTGCTGGAATTCCAGTCACACCTCCAGATCAATGTGCAGTTTAAGGTCTCACAGCCTGACCAGGACAATCTCTTGCCTCTGGACATGGAAAATCAATTTTTCCTTGTTACAGCACCAGCTCCAGGTAATTATGAAGTGGTGTAATGGTTTTTAAGTTGTGTACAGGGAGGAAATTCACTGGAGCAGCCAACACTGCTCCACCTTCATGGACAAGCCTCTGGGTTTGGGATCTTGATTTGTGGGTGTGAAATCTCCTCACAGAATCCTCTGAGGCTGAAACAAAGACAAGGAACCTTCTGAGATGGAAAGAGGCCAGAGCAAGTTGTTGTGGGAAAGGAAGATGAAAGATGGTAAGTGCTGAAACCTTTGTTCTTCCCTTCTCCTGAGCTCACTCATTGGGAATGGGTCAGCTCTGGAAATTTCCTGGAGACACTGGAGAATGATCCCTGGTCTGCTGAAAAGTGGGAAAATCCCACTGGCAATTGCAGTCCCTGAGGGAGAGCAAAAGGAGCAGGACCTCAGTCTGTGAGTGTGTGAGAAATAAGGGAGGGACAAATGTCTGGATCATCCTGTGCCTCAGGGCATCAGGAAAAGCCCTTGATTGAAAACCTGAAGTGCTGTTCCACAGGGAGCACTGGGAACTGGGCTCATCCCAGCTTCCCTTCCGGAGCTGGAGGAACACCCCACAGTGCTGCTTGTGTCATTCCTGACTGGAACTGGGGCCGACTGGGCACTTCCCTGTTTTCCTGTAGGATGTGGGCCGTGACATGAATTGGCTCCAACAGGGCCCAAGATCACTCTGGGGTCTGTGGCAGGGACAGCTCCCAGAGCCAGACAGGGAAGGGACCTTCACCCACATTCCCAAAAAGCTGAGAAGGAAAAACTGCCTGCAGCTGGCTGCAGCTCCTGGAGTCCTGGGGTTTCTGGCACACTCTGGGACATGGGGTAATGCCAGAATCATTCAAACCTTGGGAATAATGGAATTAATACCACCCCTTGAGCTCCTGCCCATCAGCCACTGGCTGCAGATGGCTGTGGAAGTGATGGAGGCATTCAGGGAATGCTGATTGTTTTTCCCTTGCTTTGGCAGTCTGGTCAGCAAAAATGCTAATTTAGCTCTTCCAGCAGGGAAACATTTGAGCAAGAGGTGCTGAAAAGAGCTGGAGTTTCTGTTTTTGAGTCTCCGACTTAAACTCACCCTGGATTGTCCAACTTCCATGGACTGGTCACCGTGGCCAGGAGTGTCCAATCCTGCTGGAATGCACTGGAGCAGGAGCTCATTTTCATTTTGTGCTGGTAAAGACTCTCTGGGTGACCCCCAGTGACTGGAAGGACCAGACTGGGCTCCCAGGGCACTAATTCCAGGGGTTCTGTTTTTGGGAGCAGCACAGGAGCCGTTCCCTTGCCCAGAGGAGCAGCCAGTGCCTCCCTTGGTCCACAGATCCCCAGGACTGACCACAGAGGAAATGACAGGAATGTGGAAATCCCCCACAGTGGAGTTTGTGGTGCTCTGGATGACATCTTGGATTTTTAATGTTAAAGGGGGGCTGTGGAATGACTTCTCTCCTTTTTATTGTCATTGTTCTCACTGCTCGTGTTGCTCTCACTGATATTATGTGTTGTCATTAATATTAAATGATTGTATTTGACTGGTTTCCATTATTAAACTGTTCTGAGCTGGGTTTTTGTGTCTGGTCTCTTCCCCATCCCACTGGGGGTGAGGGAGCTGCTGCTGGGGCCCAGCTGGGTCTGCCCATGGCCCAGGGCACTTCTGGGGCTCCGGACACGAGGGACTGGGGCAGTTTGGGGCTCACAGAGAGACGCCCAGAGCTGCGCTTTGGGGGCTCAGAACTGGGCTCATTTGGCCAAGAACAGAAAGAGACAGAAAGAGGTTTGGGGGGCTTGAAACCAATGTGCCTCAGACAGCATTTGGGAGCTCAGAGAGACCAAATTCTGCATTTTAGAGGCTTGAAGCAGAGCCCGTGTCCTGTGTTGGGGGGGTCTCAAAACCGGGGTCACTCAGCCGCTGTCGGGGCCTCACCGAGCGATTTCAGCGCTGCATTTTGTTGGCTTGAAGGAAAGGCCAAAGGCGGTGTGGGTGCTCCGGGCGGGCTCTCCCGGCCGGGCCCAGCCCGTGCCCCGGGCCCAGCCCCAGCCGGGCTCCCCGGGCCGCGCGGAGCTCCGGAGCCGCGGCCGAGCGC